GTAAGGAAAAAGCTGTTGTTGTTGTTGTCGATGATTATACTTATTATTGGGTTTACTTGTCCTCCGAACATCCATTTCAAGTTTGTTACAAGTTTGCGACAAGTGTTATTACAAAGTGCGATGGCCGTTTATTACAAAGTGTCACAGCTTGTTTATTACAATGTGCGACAAGTGTTATTACAAAGTGCGACAATTTTATTGCAAATTGCGACAGGTATTACAAGGTGCGACAGAATATCTTCCAAGGGCTGAACCTTTTTTTTAAACAATAATTGCAATATCTTGGTAAAAAAATGTGAGAATACAATCTCCGAAAAGCGTAGGCAAATTGATAGAAACACTTCAAATTTCTTAGATGAATTGAACTGTTATCCCGCATGTTATAGTCTCTCTCGTGCTTTAGAAATTCAACGCAATATTTGTTCCTTCGAACAGTTGTTTTTTAAAAAAATTCGTTCCGTGCACTTGAAAATAAAATTGATCGCGTTCCTCGGAAGCTACTCTGCGAGCAGAGGCTACATTTTCGCGGTATACGAGCTGGCGTGCGAAAATGTAGCCTCTGTTTGCAGGGTACTCGGAAACGGTTTGAAGAGATGCATTTCTAGCGTTTTAAAAAATTTAAAGCGTCCTCCTTGGAAAGTTTTTTAATCGACAATAAGCTCAGTAGTTCTGTTATGCTTTGACTGAGTTAGGTATCGAACTCGGCTTTTGCTTTTTCTCTGTAGTTGCCTACATCGCAAAACAGTTGGGCTTTTTTCCCTCAAAATCGGATTAGCGTAGCTAAGAGTCTCACACGCGTACGTACTTGAATACGAAAAGATAAGGACTGTTTTAAAGTCTAGTAGTTCCCATGTTGATGAAAATCTTACCAGAGCAGCTGGGCCAAGGTAATCCAGTGGTAAATGGTAAGGTTCTCCATTGTCCTTGGCTGCAAAAATACAGCCATGCGGGATTTGAGACAAAGTCGAAGCCGCCTTTACACATCACAGCACATGCAGGGTCACCTTGGAAGTCCAAACAGGCAAGGGCTCCGTTTTTAGGGGGAGGATAAATGGGGCAAGATTTCTCTGTTAACGAAAAGTAGTAAATTCATGGAAAACAGGATATAAATAGAAAATCATACACACCAATTTAGATGCAACAAGCTTTTATAAGTTATGTTGAAATGATAAGTGAGCTCATGTTCCTTATGAGGTTACAAAACGTGCGCTTCAGACAGCTTGTTAGCGGAGACCTAGAGCGCTTTCCATTTGTCAGAATAGAACTAGCCGGCCGGAGCAGTCAGTTAGCAAATGAAATCGGCTTTTTCCAAAGTTTTTTCCCGCTTGCTAGCGCTGAAGCACCATCTCATTCGGGTATACCATTTAGGATTTGACTGATCTGGCTGAATAGTTTTGATTAAAAGTGAAATTCTCATTACGACGGGAAGGGTCTGCCCGGTCAGTTCACTGACAAATGCAAAACGCCCTGAAATTAAGACTTAAACTGAAAGAAAGCACTCACGGCTCTGGATCTGTCCTTCTTTGAATAATCCTGTGAGCTTTTGAGAAAATAGGAGCCCGGCATACAACTGAGATGTCTATATATATGAGACAATGGGACTAACCTCTATTTTTGTCATCAGTTAACTGTTAATTCCACCCCCCTCCCCGCCACCCCAACCAGTAATCAGCTCCTGAAATTAATCTGAGGGCAACTACACGTTAAAGACCATTAAATCAATAGTTAAGAAAAACTTGCAAATAACAGAAAAGAAGGTGCCAAAGCCCTGTTCAAAGCAAATTAGTGTTGAATATGTCTTTGGTTGTTAACCATTTCCAAACAGTTTTTGGAAAATCCGGTTGAAAAGTAAATAGAACACGACTTTCCGGGTAGTTCCAGTTGAAAAATTCCGGGAGCAACGGAATTTTTGAAAAGGTAGTCCTGTTTTCCCGGTGGGAATGTTCCAAAAGAAATTCCATTTCTTCAAAACTTAGGCTGTATTCATTTTTTGAAGGGAAAAGACCGGGGATGGTAAAAATTTCTGAAGGCAGGAAGGGGGGATGCCAATTCTTTTAGATGCCATTGAAAGAGAAAGTATTTGTAACGTTACTGATAAATCGCTACACAAGTGAAGTTCCTTATTGTCTAGTTCAATGAAGGATGTTTTTGTTATTAACGACTAAAACTGTAATGTCCTTTACTTTGTGCAGTCAACCAGCGCTATCTACATTATTATACATTATTTTTCCACGTCACGGATTGTTTTTAATCTCATAATCATCATCATCACTGTCGTCATACTGCCCACAATTTACTTTCCTCATTAAAACTGGGACGGGGAGGGTTGTGAATTTTTCTCAGTTTAGTAAAGAAGGGGGGAGGGGGGGGGGGGTATCAAAAAAATTCTGTATAAAGTAGGGGCATATGAAAATATTTCGCCTCTTTAAAAAATATCCACCTCGCTTCCCCCCCCACCCCTCCCCTCCCCCCACTTCGCGGCCGTTTTTCGGCAAATTCGGGGACAAAATCTACCAGTCCTACATTTTGCTCACTACTTGCCCAAACCGTGGACCGACGGGTTTGCCTATGTAAATGGCAGACACGGCTGGTAATTTTTTTGTCAAAAAAAGTCTCCGGACTCGCGATCTCACTAATTTTGGCGTTAAGCTTCATGACCCTGTTTGTCCCCTCCTTTCGAAAGCCTGGTCGGCGAGCAAACATAATGTACATGATCGTAAGGACAAGAATTTCAGTTTCACTCTTTTAAAACTAATCACATCTGAGATTTTCTCAATAAAAAAGAAAGAAACAAAACAAAACGGTACGGGCATTCATGTAAAGTCAACTCTCTTTAAGACGCAGGACACCTTTAGGACCGGCACTAAGTGTCCGGGGGGTACTCCCTCATATAAGCCATATAGGTATAGGCCGCCCCAGGGGTAGGGTTTGTGCGCCGTTTTGGTCTAAAAACGGGTATACACTTTGCCCATTTTGGTCTGGAATCGGGTATCGTTTTCGAGGCGTGTATGAACGTATCTGAAATCGGGTCAGGATTTAAAGAACTGGGCGGCACACCCCTAACGAGAATTCCCGGGAATAACGCCCCCCGGGTACTAAGTATTCGTCTTAGAGAGATGTCCGTCTTATAGAGAGTTAACTAAAGGGAGTAAAGAAAGGTAGCTGCTATCCAGACGTCTCTCTCTCTATGAAAATGTGCGCCCAAAGGAAGGTGGGAAGGAGACAACGTGCGACACGCGCTTTGCCTGCCGTCTGTACTCTTCCCATGGCTCCTTGCGGTTCATCGTCAGTCATTCGCGTTTCGCGCTCACCTCTACCATGCGAAAAACGAAGCGCCTAAGGAGGAGGCTGGAAAGGTAGGGTGTACTTTGCCCATATGTCGCATTCTCGACCCCAGTGCTTACGGGTTTGGGAATGCTCTCTCGATCTCTCTCCTCGACATGCGTAGAAGAGCTCTAGGTCAAGATTGCCATATGTCGCCCAACACAAACTTTTTACTTACTCTTCAGAGTTATGCGAAAGCTACATGTGGCTACATTTCCAGACGAGTCTCTTGCCGTATAAATCACTTCGTATGAACCAGGAGCACTAAAAAGAGAACCACTCTGTCGGTTTGACTCGAGAGTAGGAACACCAGTATTGTCTGTAACCATGGGTCCCTGCCAATTTACACGAACCTTAGACTGGACGGTTTCAATTAAGATATCGGGTGGGCAATTAATGAAAACTGGAGGCTCCGTATCTGAAATATGATTAACAAAATTAAAATAGTTATCACTTTAAAAACGAAGATTTTGTGTCATGTTAAGATTTACACAGAACTTTAATACAGAAGATGAATCTTCATGAAGGCCCAACACATCTCACAAAAGCGTTGTAAAATTCATTTATTAATTTATTAACCCTTTATTCAAAGCCCCAATATCCACATACAAATTCTCTATATTGATCTCTTTACTTTTCCTTGAAAAACTAGTAGAGAGAGTAACATTTTCTTTTGACGATGCATCGATATTGTTAGGAGAAAAATTGATGTTGATCACTCTTTCTCTTGGGACTTGGGACTCTTTGGGGGTTTACGTTTTCACCAATCAATGGGCTGTTTTCGGGTCACATGTACGCCTCTGGTTGATGGGTGATTTTGAATTAATTTTTGATACAGTTAATTCACTCGCATTCATTAACGCATGATGAAGATCTATACTCGCTGTTTTATTTCACCAGCACGATGAATATTAAATACAGTGGAACCTCGATTTAACGAACCTCTATATAACGAACTCCTTGGTTTAACAAAAGATTTTCATCAGCCCGGGCAAAATTATAGTAAAATGTATGGAACAGAATCTCTTTATAAGGAACCTCGATTTAACGAATATTTTAGTTGTTTCCCCCAAAATTCGTTAAATCGAGGTTTTCGATATAACGCCCTCGATATAACGAACACATTTCCCCAGTCAATTGGCACTTCGTTAAACCGAGGTTCCACTGTACTCGCGTCCGAACGTAACTTCTTCCTTCACAAACTAAAGCTCTGCCGCACTAATGTACTGTAAAGGCCCACAAAAAAATGCCCATTCATATTTTTATCTTGTACTTAAAGTTGAAATTGTGTTAAAATATACGCATTCCTTCTCACGATCACCTAAGCAGAGTACTATGTTAAGTGGGGATGGGTGATTAGATAGTCGCATTAGTGCCTGGTCGTGTCAGTAGAACCTCTTCAAATCGTTGGGTATGTCTTGTGGATAAAGGATATTATTTTAGCTGTTTCCACCCTGGCATAGTCCCAAAAGGACCTATACAACAATGGAAATAATTTACACTCTAAGAAAATTTAAAAAAACTTCGATTTTCCTATTAACAGTATATATAATAAAAAAAACATGAGACGTAAGCCGCATATAAGAAACAAATTAAGCATTGACCGTAACAAGACGTAACCTGCAGCCAGCGCCCCATTCATGACCCTGTGATAACAGAAAAGCTAACTTTTTCCTAATAGGAAAGTCGATTACCTGTAATTGCCGCGGTAGTGAATTTTGTCAAGAAAACAGTAGCAATCAAACTTTGCAGAAACTTCATGTCAGCGCGTTCCAACTACAACGAATACTCCTCAGTATATAGGCAAAAAAAAAGAATCACCTATTACTTGCGCGCAGATATACGAAAACTATGATTGCACACGTACTGATGATAGATATTCATGAACTCTACAATAATTATTGTTTTGTTAGCTGTTCTGGAGTTGATGATGGATCACTTTGTTGAACAAAGATCTTTATTCAGCTGCAGATCACAGTGAGTTTCAACTTTTCTACCCGAGAATTTTCGCACATTTGAATAACTGTTTTATCAGTCATCCTTGCACAGTTTGGTCTCTTGGTTAAACTGCGAACACTCTCTCCCCCGCCCCTGCCCCCAGTCTTTCTTCGGCCGTTTTACTTTTAACTTACATAATTTTACTTTTTCGCCCAGCGCGCGTAGCTCTGAGGAATGAAGGACGACTTCTCGCTGTCTAGTCTCCTGGTTTGATGCTGTAACATAGATACAGACACGGATAAATACAATTCAAACAATGCAGAAATACGATCGCGACTTTGAATTCAGTTCCACATGTTAAACAAATAAAAAAATAAGTTTTTCTAAGCTTTGATCTCCAAGTAAATGCTTGCAATAGAAATTAAAATCGGTGAGAAAAGCAACTAGTTCTCTTTCGGAATTAAGGGCAGAGGGCGCTGAATAACCAGGGGCGGACCCATAGACCTGATAGACTGCGAGCAGTCTCTTATTTTTCTTTTGAGTCACAGAAAGTCTAGAGCAAGAGTTAGGTGCGAGCGGAACGAGGACTGAAGCCCGAGCGTAGAAAATCTCTCCTCCTTTTTACTATTAATTTGCATAATCTCTGAGGAAAGAAGGACGACCGCGCTCGCAGTCGGCGAGCAAGCTCTCCCTGGGACGGTACCTCCAGCTCTCCCCACCGCCCCCCCGTCAGGTCACTGGACGAAAAAGTGGATTTGCTCAACTTTGCTCCTTGCAAATTGCAAATATGTAAAAACTGAGGAGTATATATATGGCAAAGATAGTAAAAGTGCCATTTGCATACCAAAAACTAGGGGGTGCAAATAGCCAACCACTGGTTGCCCCGGCGAAATGACGCCTGACGAACTAGCGCAGAAATTCTGCATTGTTGACGTGTCACTACCCAGATTTGGGTAATGCTTATGATGTACCAATTACCATATGTATTAACCACTGAACGATCATCTCGATAGCAATGTCTTTATTTTTTCAATCTTAACAGTTAATCAATATTTTGTCCCATAAAATGAGGAACCACCTGTTTGTGTCCTCCTTTACAAATTCATCATGAATCACCATACTCAGTGTTTCAATCTATATTTATAGAGCTTTAGATTCGAGAACGAGGAAGACTACGGGGGCGAGATTTAACCTACAGTTTTTTTTTTGCTTATGCTCAAAAAGTAAACAACCCAGAAAGCTTCATCTTCGTTTTTTTCACCAAAAAAGTTAGTACGGTTATTTATACTGAAGGAGGTTAAGCCCTCTCCCGATCGCAAAATGATAAAACCACGAACATTTGATAACTTGTTTCCGCCGCTTTGACACTTTCTCAAAAACCTGTACTAGAATGACCACGTCTATCGCGTTTTCCGCCAAAACGACGCGGGTTCACGCGTGGCACGCACTACTTGGTACAACGGCGGCGACGGTTACGATTAAAAAGTGAATTCACGCTTCTTCACGCCCAAACTTTATCACGCTTATTCCATCTCGTTTACTTCGTGCAAATGTTTTTGGCCTTGAATTCTAAAGGAGTCTGTTGAAATCCTATATATGGTGTAACCGCTGTATCAAAGTTTAGGAAAAGAAAAACAAAGTTGTCTTGTGTTTCCGTCCTCGACAAAAACGTGAATTTAGGCACTTTCACGTTGTATCGGGCAACGACGGCAAAGAAATGTAAACAAAAGCGTGATGCACGTGCGAAGTTGTTTTCTAATCTGAACCTACTGCTTTTTTGCCGTTCTCGTTGCCGTCGCCTCGTCGTTGCTTAAGCTTCTTATTGAGAAAGTTTCGTTCTCCCAGTGATGTAGCCGTCCTCGTCTTAGAATCTGAAGGTCTCTGATAGTATCAGGCCAACTTAGTGGCCACAAAGCGAAGCGAGGGGAACTAATGAAAACTTAAAGTTATAGTGAATCATGTAACCTGCGAAGTCAAGAGTGGAAAGCAAGCATTTTAAATGTGTTGACCGTGAAACAACCGTGTTAATGAGCCGTCATACACGGTTTAGGTGATTGAGCTCTGAGAATAAAAAGACCTTTTCAACTCTAATGGCCTGGTTGAATGGATAACAATATCGTCGAAAACACACCTATCTATGATTAATCTCGTGGTCGCTATCCACTTGGTCTAACTGGGTTCTGAATGTCAAGTCCTAGGAATAAGTGACTGAGAAAACTCTTTGGCCTTTTAAGTATGTGTACCCAGTGCCAGAAGATCTGTTTGAGAGTTGGTGACTTATTCTAAGTTGAGACAAGTGGTTAGTTCTATACACGGGTTTGAAAAAACCGGATGCAGGTAAATTGGAGAGGTTTCTCACTCTCAATTCAGCAGTAACAAACATTGTACCTCATATTTCAAAAACTAAAAATATGTTGCTGACATCAACAGCGGGAAACGCGTATTTAGCTTGAAAGGTGCTTGAATTTGTCTTGCTATATTCGGTCTAATTCAGTCCCGGTGGATTGTGGTTTTGAGAGCGAAATAAGAGTTTGTCTTTTAAATAATAACTTATAAGGAAATTCTTACTGGCGCTATTTTTAACAAATAACTTAAAACGTGACTGTCCAGCTTAAGAGAATTAACTCTACCTCCACCGTCGTTTCGAACTAAAAATTCTAAAACCTAAGCACCGTCTAATGTCTGATAAAACCCAACAGGATGTTAAAAACAAACTTTTCTAATAACAAAGTCTAGTATCTTCTGGCGCAATCGGTGGAACAGAAAATCTTGTTCTTCCTTGGATGACGAAGAAACTGCCTTCCAATCAGTGATGTCTTGCACATTGCGCACTTGAAGCACTCGTCTCGCGCATGCCAGAACTCTCCCTCGTATTCGATCCTCTGAGCGTCTGCGCCAATGACGTTACGGCATTCTGAGCATTTCTTAGCGTACAGGCGATTGTAGCACTCCATGCAGTGTGGATGCCCGTCACGTGCAACGTACAGTAGCCCACCCAGATCCCGATCACACTCGTAACAACAGAAGTGCTTGCGATGCCAGTTACGGTCTTCGGCCTGAGTGTATTCCCGGCTAAAGATCAACTGCAACAAAAATAGTTTGTCTGTAATTTACTGAAGAATTTGTTGGGATTTTTTGGGGGGCTTTAGCCTGTATGGCAGGACATAAGAATTATGGGTACCAGAAATTGCTGCGCGTGAAAGAGGAAGACACGAGCGGAGAAAGACGAAGCTCTCCCTGACCTTGACTGGTCGGTGTTCGTGTTTGCTAGCAAGTACTGCCCCGTTCACACCAACGCTTAAAAATGTTTAAAACCTGTTTCGTTAAACATGGTATAAATTATTTTGATTCCTTTGTAACAGCTACCTAAAGGTTTTGGTCGACTACAAATTTGGCAAAAATGAAGGCACAAGTCCAAATTTTACTTGAAAACCTGGTTTACAGTCGACTCTCTCTTAACGGACACCTCTGTAAGACGGACTTAACTTAACTTTCACTTTAACTTTATTATTCCATCGCTCAGATAGTACAAACTCAGTAAAGCCAAAGCCGGGGGCTTATACGGCCTGTGGTCAGAATGACAGAAATTATTTTTTATAGAAATGAAAACTGTAGGCTAAACTACAAAACTAAAACAGGATACAAAACTGAAATTAAAAAAGTTTACATGCATGCAGTCCTATAACAGTCCTATAACTAGTGACAAATAAACTAACAATAAGCGTTTATGCTTCTACCGCAAACGGGGCAGGTTGATTGTTGACGCTTTGACCGTGAATAGGGCTTTGGAGCTGTCAGTAAATCACGTTGAAAGTTTAGGATGTTTCTTGGTGCTGCAGGCGAGAAACAACAAATATATGGTTGGTGTGGTGATGTGGAGTTTAGTGTCTTTTCAATCATTTGTATTACAGCTGTACGTCATTTGGTGATCGCACCGTCCGCAACACGACCAAGAAAGAACAAAGTCTATCAAACAGTAACATAGACATCAGATTCTCTCACCTCATCACAAGCAGCACAGCGGGGCTTAAACATCTCAGCGTAGTGTCTGCCGCAGTAGATGCCTCCATCCTTGTAGAAGTAAATCAGGTCCACCAAGAGATTGTTACAAATCTGGCACACAAAGCAGCCTGGGTGCCAACATCTACTCTCTCCGGCACGAGAAGCAAAAACAGCAATCTCTCCAAGGCCGATGTTTTGACGACAACGAACACAAACCTATGAGGAAAAAACACCATACACTTTCAGATAGTAACCACAGTGTGGCAACAGTTCTGTTTTTTTTCCAGACGAGTTATCTTTTAATAAATGTGTACTTGTTGGAAAGTGTGACGGTACTGATGTGATGCATTGGGGCGTCATGAAGCTGCAAGAACGATTTATATAATTAGCTACAGTGTAAGTAATTAAACTACACCCCTAGCCCTATAAACAACAGGTGCTTTTAAAGGACAATGAAAGTAAAGGTTTTTCAGAGCTTCATGGCTGCAGGATAAATAAAATGTGAAGCTTTCTTAAAATTTCCCATTTTTGTTTTATGCATGCTTAAGTGTAACAAAAATGTAACATTAAACAAAATGCATTATTAAGCAGTAGTGTTTTTAGGAGCCGGTGTCGCTCGGATGTAATCTATAAATGAACCCCTGCTCTTTGCTCTGGGCCCCAATGGACTCAGTTAATTACTGCAAGTGCGCTTTGAATTTCCCTTCAACCTGACTGGCAAATTGACAATGGCTTTTTTAACAGGCCAGTCATGGTACATACTCAAATCCTGGTACACAGGTGGGGACCCAGGACAAGGATTCCGGTCCTGGCTTGCAGAGGGACTTAACCAGACGTTTAGTTTCGTTTGTGGGGCAAGCAGTCTTAAGTCTTTCAAGAAACGTGCAGAGTGAATCAGTGCTACAATGATTATAGTAATACATGTACATACCCATTTAGAGACAGGGTTGGTTTTCTCTCTCACATCTCCTACACCCAGAGCATTTTGGTTCCTGTCATCACAGAACTGCCTCATGCTGTCTCTTTCAGCGTCAGTTAAATTGTCACAGTAGTTCTCATCATGGTCATGGATTGGTAACTGATACATCATTTGTTTGCGGCGATACTTAGCACCATCACTTCCAACTTTAGGTTTAACCTCAGGGGGTAGCGACTCCATGTACTTCATTAGCTGTGAATAAATCACAAAAAAATGATTAACTACTTTTTAGAAACAAGAGGCAGGAAGTTTTTTTTTGAGGAATGCAACACTCTTTAAGCTGGAATTTCTTAGAAGTTGTGAATAAAAATAGTACTGGAATGGTCAGATTTTGAGTGTAATCAACTGCTATCACATTGGTACAGTGGCCATGAATATTTGCCTAACTCATGGTCCTCATTGGAAACCAAAAATCAAATAATAATATTCTAAAAATTTTCTAGAGGGCACGCCCCTAGACCCCTATAGACACTCATGCCCTTTGGGCCTTTTGTTACATGGCCTTTGGCCATATTTTAGGATGCTACGACTGGAATCTTTCCAGTCATGCCTGCTCAAACTTGTGCCTGCTTCAAAACTTAATGACAGCCCTGCATGTAACAACTATCTGTGCTAGAAAGGCTTTGTCCAAAAATAATTTATATAGTAAGACAAATGTTGGATACCTACCACACCCTGCTGCAGTCCGGGGGGAGTCCATGCAAACTGCCTGGCATACTCAGACCGCTGAGTATTATTTGCTTCTTCCAATTTACGGAAGTAGTCCCTGATGTGTCCCACAGGGGAATCTTTGGAGAACAGACTGTGTACCACTAGTTTGTGGGCCTCTTCTTCTGCACTCTTGATATCATGTTCCTCTGGTTTACACTTGCAAGTCTTGCAGATTTTCCTGAGAAAGAGAAGAAACACTGAGTACAGTTATCTCTCGCCTTGCTAACACCCCACTATAATGGACACCCTGATGATATGGACAGTAGCTAAATCCCTGGGAAAAACAAATAACAGATGTTTGACTGAAATAAACTCCCACTATTACGGACTCTCACTAAAGAAGACACTAACTTGAGGTCTCTACAGTGTCCGCAATAAAGGGAGTTCACTGTAATTCTCTTTGGTAGATAAGAAGCCATATCTCTGGCGGGTTTCATGGCAAAACAGCCAGAAAGTCTCCTTAAACATTATTACATTGTATTTGACAGTCACGTCATGATTTGTCCAAAGAGTGGATAGTAGAGTTGCCAACTGGATACTAACTCATTGGCTAAGCCTTAGACCTGGCCAAAGTTGTTCAAGGTGGAAAGCACTATCCACTGGGTAAATCTCTATCCAGAGGATAACACATTATTATTTTCCCTAATACCTATCCACTGGATAGTGATGTATCTGGTGTATAGCAGGCAGGGTTTTCATTAAGAATCCAAATAGCAGGAGATATGTGTAACGTTACAGGAGAACATTTTGAAAGAAGCTCCACGTCTGAATGAAAAATAGTCATAAGCTACTGAACGCTTGTCGGAGAATTCTGCATAGTAAATGGGGAATTCCCTAATCTCTGACGCCTAATGAACACCCTGAGCAGGGCTTGAAAAAAGTTCCGTCCAGCAGTCTGGTACAAGTGGATTTTCTTGCTGGGCAAGTAACTTTTAAAGCTTCCTTAACTTGCCCAGTGGGTAAGGGTACAAGCAAGTCATCCTCTACCAGATAATTAAAGACAAGCAAGCAGTGGCCTTGGCAAGCAATATGTGAGCTGCTTCAAAAAGGACAGGCTTGAATGCAAGTTTTTTTTTGAGCCCTGGGATAGTGAACATTTGAACAACCAGGAACAGGCCTTCAAGAAGAGAGAAAAGATATAGAGGATATTACATGGCTGAGTAGAGATACAAAATTTCTCTTCGTGTGTTGAAAAATATTTCTTCAACACCAGAAGACAAATTTCATATCTCCAACTGGCCATGTAATGTTCTATTTATTACATAAACACCAATGAAATACCAAACCATTTCACTTTAATAGTTTTTTGTTGTGAAAGGCACGATTTATTATGTAACCATAGCAACAGTGATCTTTTCACGTATGAAGATAATATGTTATCAGGGTGCAAAGAAAATCATTTTTACAGCTTGCTATTTGGGCAAGCTGAAGCTAGCATTTACTAGCCCAGACATCATTTCAACTAGCCCAAAAAGCTTTTCGTCGAGCAGAATTGATTTCACATTTCTTCTGTTATTCAAATTCCTCAAAGAACATCACTTGCCCGTCGGGCAAGTTAAAAACAGATTTCACTAGCCTGATAGCAAAATCCACCAACCCCGGGCTATCGGACACTACTTTCTTTGCACGCTGGTTATTTTCACAAAAAAGATATCATGTTTTCGTGCAAAAGCTCACATGGTATTTCATTGGTGTTTATATAATGAAATAGTTCATTACAATCAATACAGATAAACCAACGAAACTGCAAGAAACTCAAACCGAAGGAATGAGAAGCATATTAAAGCCCCACCTTCATCTCCCACTCAATTCACTTCCCTTTTAAGTATGCAGACAGCCTCATTGGAGAGTAACATTACCTCCAGAAGTGCAAATCTAATCCACCTTCACATTGCACAGGTCCACATTTCAGACAAGGTGCTCCAGCATTTCTCTCATGACCTAAGGTAAACTAACAAATTTAAATACTATATTAAAATATAAATATGTGCATTCGGGTTTCAGCCAACTCTGAAGGTACAAAATTAAAACTTCCTGCAAATAAACTTTTGGCGGGAAGGTCCCGATGAACATACGTTTTTTAAAATATTAACAGCAAATAGAGTACCCTTGTTTGTTATGTAGGCTAAAATATCATCAAGACACTTGAACTGTAATAATACAACTTTACATGTTTTTGCAGACATGCTTTGACAGTACATCCACCATCATGGGTTGTGCACAAGAATAATAATAATTTATTGCATGTTTTGATCCAACTAAATTTTACTGGTTATCTTCCAATGAAACAAAGAGTTTCTAAAGGCTAGCCATGAAGAATTATGAATCAGATACCACAATAAATTTGGTCATTTTACACACACCAGTTAAGGCTGCTGCCTAATGGTCATCCGGTTGCCAGAGGCACCTACGATTTGCCCACAGGCGACCGAATAGTTCAAACAAGGAGTCAGAATAGGCACCTAAAACTTATGATTCCCACGCTACATTGTAACACCCATGAATGAACAACAAAATTCCCTGCTCACTCTGCACTTTTAAAATGAAAATTGAAAACGTTTCATCGTCGGCTGAGGTAATAAAATATTTCCGCTGATAAAAGGTAAACAAACAAGCACTTGCTTTGAAATCCCACTGCAGTGCAGTTGATGTTTCTCATCTGAAAATGGTGTCAAATGATCGAATTTAATTATTAGAAATGCCTTCGATATTAACATCATGACTTTTTCGCAGCAGATCATATTTCAATCTCTTTTTAATTCATGCCGTCGCACCCAACACACGTAAATACATACCCATTGGTTGTTGCTTTCGCTGTACATGAAAAGTAAATCATTTCTCAAAATCCTTTCAGGTGGTGAATATAGAAAATGCTGGTTTCTTAAAAAGCGAGATTTGATTTTTCTTCTTTCAAAACTCGATTGGTTCAAGTCTTCTGTTTTTTTCTTGTCACGCAATGCTCCTTTACAGCATTGTGTGACTAGACAAAAAGGGCTGTAAGGGAGACTTGGGTTTCGAGAAGCGTAAATCAAGTTTCGAGGATCTGGTCATGACCGTCAACTTATATTAAGATACAGAAACTATTGACAGGGTCATTTTGGTGAACTAATTAAAACTACCAGGTTAGCTTTAGACACCCTGGTTCCACTGTTCTTGAAATACAATGAAGGAAAAAAACCTCTGGCACAGAAAAAAGGAAATTGGCCATTGAATGTTAGCTGACCCTTTACTATGCAACTATTTGTGCCCTTGAGTTGCGTAAATTATAAATTTGAAGTTTATCGATCAACCAATTAGTGTACCAGTTGTTGCACGTTTAATAAAGTTCCTTATTTTGTTTGAACAGGCTCCTAGAAATGTCGATCGGGCTCCAAACTTATTATTTTAGGAGCTCGAAGGCTCCGAAAAAATTTTCTTAGGCAGAAACCTTGCCAGTGGATAAACTTGTAACTTTCAAGAGAAATTTACTGGCAAGATATTGTTTTTTTGTAAAAAAAAATGCGTATCTTTTGACTTTGGTTTTTAGCAGACAAGGAATAAGAAGAAATTTGAAAAAGACAGAAACATTATTACACTGGAAATAGAGTGGAAAGTGTTCATGTAAGATCTGCAGTTGACATGTTGGATGAGACAGATTTAAATGGTCAGTACGGCAATTCAGAAAAATAATTTTGACTTTACTGTCATTTTAAATACGTAAGTGAGCGTTCGTTAATTTAATCTTAGAAATCAACTCAAAAATTTTCCCTTTTTTGCTCCTGCAAACTTAATCCTTATTAACAATGCTTTTTCCACAGGTTGGAAAACTAGTTTGTAAATGTTTTCATACTTTCTGAAGCAATTAAGACTCTGCATAAACCTTCTGAGTTCATGTACTTTGGGAACCATTGACAGGGTACTTGGATGAATTGAAATAATTTTGTCTTCACTCATTGCTTGAACTGTCAAAATTGTTGAATATATTTTTAGTTCTCTAACCTGAACATGAAATTTGTTTTCCATGAGTGTTAACGTTCAAAGCGATATTGGCTCTGAATACATTTATGGTGGCTAACTCTATTTATCTTAAAATCAGTGTTGGCAAAACCAAATTTACACTGCCACTCTCACAAAATGGACATAATATAATGATATAATTATAACCTAATGAACATTCAAATCTTAAAATGAAACTGACTACCACTCTAAGAAACAAAGTAACTGGTGAAAATAATATTACCTTTTTATTTTGAAATACGGAAAGCTAGAGTTGCATGTACATGGATAATAAAGCTTGATGATTTGGTTTGGCATGAAATTTGCGCTTCGTTCGTGTTGGTTTGTTTAGTCATACTGTGATTCATCATCAATCATACCCCCTAAGGAGCAAAAACTTTGTTAACGTGACTAAATATATAGACTTGCTCATCGTAAATACCTGAAAATGTCAGGGAATGACACCACAATAAAGTCAAACAGTTTTGCATACAAATAACGCTCACAGCTAACCCAAGGCCATTTAGTAAATTCAAATGACCGAAGCATCACTGAATTCTGACGACTAACATAAAATAATAAAAAAGCTTGTGCTAACCGCGCACTTTTATCTAACCAGGCAGATAAATGATGGTCAGATCAACTAAAAATCGTCAGTGAAACATTCTCAAAATTAAGCAATGTTATTGCTATTCGAATTTATAAGATAGAATCCGTTAGATATCAATATTCCACTACGAAGCATCGAATATAGGCAAATTGCTACTCAAGAGCTATGCGATCACATAGAAGCAGATCGAAGTGTGTGGTCGTGTCACATGCTAGATCTTCGTCGTTTAGCACGATGACATACTTCCAGGATTATGAAAGGTAAATCCAACGATAAAACTCATCCCCTCTCGATAATTTCAACGTATTGCTAAGCCATGTTAAATTGCAACAACAATTCGCGCGACTGACCTTTTTAGGGAGGTGAAAATTGACAGCCTCTTCAGAACTTCCATACATTCTCTCGACAGATCGGAAAACTTTGTCCTGGATATCCTTCTTGAGTTTCTCAGGTCAAAAGTTCGATACAAAAGTGACTAACGATAAAATTACGTTTCTTATTATTAGAGCAAATGCCTTCCAACTTCCCTCCCAAAGACGTCAACGGATGTGATTCGTCTTGGAAACTCGCGAAGAATGCTGGGTCACGCAAGTAATCTAGGGAGGGGAGACAGGGGCAAATTTGCAGCCAAACATGGTTGACTTCAGGGATATGTAAAGTGTATATGCAAATCAAGTTTTGAAAACTGAAATAAAAATAAATAAAAAAATAAAAAAAAAGGTCGAAGTGAGAAACGTTATGTTGAGTTCTACAGCAGTAAAAAGTGAGTTGGTGGAATAAAATTGTAATTTTTAGTTGCTCTGCAAAGCAGTCCCCTTTCTTCGGTTTATAAAAGGTGAACAGCTGAATTAATCGCTGATTGGGTAAACAACAATCGGAAAAGGGTGATCAATGTCCCGTTCTAAGGACTGCGTTCCGGAAACCATTTTACTTCTTTATGCATCGCGATCTACTCGTTTGAAAAGTCAGTTAAGTCCAGAAATCAGCGTAAGCGGAATGATTTATTTCTGTTTATTACAGGACCATTTTAATCAGTGCCTTTTCCTACCGATTTAATGATTCAAGGTTATTATTTTTTTGCGGAGGTTGTAAAACCGCTAAATTGACGGTGCCATGAATAGCCCACTATCTTGGTCCAGCTGAAGTCGTACTAGGTCCTTTTAATAAAGCAAACAAAAGATGGAGCGGGAGCACATAGCTCTTGTAAAGGTTGATTAAATTAAACCTATTTCAAACCATTTTAAACCTTTGAACACCGAGCATTCTGTTGGGTGGAAAGTAAGCTTGTTTGGCCATCATTCAACAACCATACCGAAGACTACAAGCTCGCTCAAAAAGATATCGAAAGATAGCTCATACTGAAAAATTATGACCGCAACGAAAACAATCGACGGACAATAAGCTTTTGGCATAAGATTATAATATCTTTCACGATTTTTGACATGACTTATAGACAGACACAAAGTAAAAAAATTACGTACGCTTAGCAGTGAAATTGTCAGCTTATGTAAGCTTGGGTTATCTTAGAACATTAGATACTTAGAAATAAGGATGAATTTCTTACCTTCTCGCGGGGCATGGCACTCTTCTAAGTTTCAAACCGTGATTTCTTTCTCCAAACAGATACGATCGTTTTGAAGACCTCCTGGAGTAAGAAATAAATCTTTAACAATTTGACCTCAAACCGGTTCCAGAAATATTACTTACCATCTGTAAGACAGACAGCGTCATGGCTGTCGACAGATCTGTCATGCGTCTGTGATCACGTGACACGTACAAGACGTCGAAAAAGAAGTAAAGAGAAAATTCTTACATTTCAGAGCCATTTTCCCATCCTTGATGGTGAAGTATGGGTGTTCATTTTTTGTCTATTTTGTCCAAGATTATGGGCAATGTTGTCTTTGTTGGTCTCAGATTAAATTAGCTTAGAATTAGATTGTATAGTTGATTTTATAACCGCAATACTCTCTTATAGCAATGTCTGCAAGGTCCTCTTTTATGGTTTCCGAGTGCCCATATTATAGAGGTTCGGATCTTAGTCGGATCTAGCCGACTGACCACCGGCCATAAAGAGCTATTTAATTAGGGATTCAGTGTATCTTAGGTTCAATATTTATTCAATTCCTTCAAATGTTTTAGAATCTTTTTATTACTGAATCATCGTACAGAAGAATATACAAAAACGAACTGAAAATAAAAATTTAACCAAGGATAAAATTGAAACTGATTCTTTGATTCAACCAATCCTCTCTTTAATATCTGTCCACAACATGTTAAAAATCTAATTTCAATTGAATGTTTCAAATTTTTGTTTATTTCTTGTCATTCAGCCTCGTTACAGGCTTGATTAAATCATCCGGTTGTTAAATGCTTATTACTTAGGGAGAAATTCATTTCAATATAGGACAACGGCATGCAATATACTTTTGATGGATTAACTGATTAAACATACCAATGACGAATTGCTCCTAAGAGGGAAATTTATAATTATTATTTTGAACTAAACTACAAAAAAAATTATTCAGTTTTCCTGGAGCGTTTTAAACTTAATTGATAATTGACGTCAGACAATTCACGTCAGTGCTTGGTCACATAGATGTGCACAAAATACCGTGGTCTTGGTAAGTCCTCGCGTTCAGCCGCGCAAGTGAATTTGTCAGACTTTAAATAGAAAAATCAAACGTAAGCTTCTCTACTAATTTTGTAACGAATTTGCCTGTGTTTTCTCTCTTTTTAATTCCTTTTAACACTGCAATTTTCTTTGAATGTTTCTTTGCAGCTACAAGATCAGACCATGGACGGCACCCCAAAACAAGATCAATCCATCGGCTGCAAATTAAACTGCAAACCCGCTTGTCGATCACTCAATCATTCTCGTTTAGAGAAAGAGTTTAATCTTAAAGGTTTTACTGATAAGCAAAGATACTGATGTCAAAGATAAATTCGGATCAAGGATAAAAGTATTTTACCTTTTCGTCCTATTAGACTAGTACATCTTTCCTTGGAATGAGTGCCGGAGACAAATGACTAACTTTGTTGATTATTCGTAAAAATTTGCTGCTTACTAGAGTGTCGGAGTTAGTCTCTGACACTACTGCCAGTCTTGTTTTTACAGAAGGCAATGAATTGATATCTGGCGCGCCGTGACTATAAAACTGCCAAAAAAACCCTATGTTGGGATTAACTGAATGTAACATTAAATTAGACCTTCAGCTGACTCTTAATTGATGTAAAATGAACGCTGTTTTGGAGTGTTTCTTTTTTCCTTTGATAATAACAATTACTAAGGTAAATCGTTCTAGGCTGTTCCTTTCGCCAACATGCAGTCTCGGTTAATTTACGTATTTATTTGTAAAATTGTGAAAGGTTTGAACCCAGGAGTCATTTCAAAAGTAGGTTGAGTTTGATCGTCCGGGTGAACGTAGTCCTGAATAGAACTGTTGTTGTTGACAGTGACTGACGTTTCGACAACCTGTGCGGTAGTCATCTTCAGAGTCAAAGTGAGTTGTATCACGTCAACTCATTTTTACTATTTTCGATATTAAAAAGATATTCAAATTCCAGAGAAGTAGCTGCAAGCTCTCTTTCCTTTTCCGGTCCCGCCACCAGAGCGCCCCGGAGAGCTTGCTCGCAGGCCTATTGGCGCTTTTATTGTGATCCAAAAATTTTGCTACCATGGTAACGTGACGTCACTCTTCTCCTTTCTATAGTCGCGCGAGATTTGAGCGAAATCAGTTCCAAACCCTTTTGGAATGATTTTGCTCTTAATTCTATCCGTCAAGGAGTGATTTCAGGAGGTGATATAGGCTGAAAGTAGTATTCAGTTGATCCTAAAATCCATAAAATCAAAAGAAATGTCTACGCATAACTCCACATTCAGACTTTTGTAAACCCCTACAGTGGAACCTCGACATAACGAAGGATTGGCAAAATTTGCTCGCTATAACGAGGTTTCGTTATATCGAGGTCCTTTTTCATATATTTTGCTATTAGCCTATTACTGGGGTACTAAAGAAATTCGTTCCTTATACTGAGGACTTCGTTATAAAGAGGTTTGTTATGTTGAGGCTCCAGTGTAACTTCTTGTGACAAAGCTAGTTGACCATTTAGTTCCAGGTTTCATCAAGTCCCAAATTTTTATGTCGTCCGTTTAGCTGCATATATAGGCTATTCTTAGTAGGAAGAATAAAGGCTTTACTTTTTAACTGAAATCGAAAACGCCTATGAGCTACTTTACCTGTAACATTTTCTACAATTTTACGCGCTTTGTGGAAACACGTTCATGTCCACTTGCGCCTGCGATCATGCCGTACCCATATATAAACCTCTCTTAAAAAAAAAAAAAGAGAATCCCCATCGCGAGTTACTAAATATGGTGATAAAGAGTAGTTATCAAGTAGATATCAATGATAGACAAAGACAATCCAAGAGAGTAATCAAAGCTCTAGAAGGGGGAGGGGGCACATAAACGGAGGGGTTTATATCCGAGGGAGGCCTCATTTTGGAAATAGGAAAAGTGCCTTGAAACAAGCTACAGCAGTCGGTGATTAATTTTTGAGCTTTAAATTGTCATAATAAATCGAATTCATGTCAATACGAGCTAGAGGGGGGCTTATAATCGAGTGCATTTTTGTGTCTACAGGTGGATGGCCCGAAACCAGGGGTTGGAGTGGGGGGGGAGGGGGGGGGGCGTACAAACGGTAGCTTACGGTTTTGTGCTGCAGCAACTTCTGAATAGTTAATTAGCTTTATAGTCGAATAGTCGAAACCAGTTACTGAACCAAACAATATACTGATAATATGCCGTTGTTTTCTTCCTATTTTTATCCTACACAACTACAGCTAATAATATTCATATCCATAAAACTCTCTATGTATATTCTTCCCATTCAGCTGAAGATGACATGAGCGTGTGGTAAGATCTGAAGTGACTAAGTCGTGGTTTCATACCTTTACTTCCCTTTTTTACAAGGAAAAACAATTTAGTTCAAAAACAACATAAAGGATACCGTAAAATTCTGAAAATAAGCCCCGGGGCTTATATTTTTCAAAGACCCTTTTTGGAGGGGCTTATCTACGGAGGGAAATTTGCGTTTCAAAATCGATTGGGCTAATCTTATAGTTGGAAGGAAATTTACCGTTTTTGCTTTGTTTTACTTTGTATTTGAGGGTAATTTCCAATTACAAGCGCCCGGGAGGCTTATATTTGGAGGGGCGATTTAACGGAGGGTTTATTGCGTTACGAGTCTGGGGGACTTATCTTTGGAGGGGCTTATTTTCGGAATTTTACGGTAATTTGAAGGGTTTAATATTAGTTTCTTAAGGGCTTTTTTTCCCTACAATAGCAACCTTTGAATTGACGTATTCTTGACGGTTTGTTCCCCAAGACTATTTGCTG